TTGAAATGGTTTCTCTTTGTTATCTGGAATTTCAACACTCAGAGAAGGATGGTGACCTGCTGTGGTCCCAGACTGGGGTGTATCATGGCAAAGAAATGGCAAAATACCTTCAAAGATGCCACATTACCAGTGGAGCCCTTCCTCCTGCTTAGGAGGTCAAGTCTCATAATCAGGTGTAGTACCCCTTTTGAACTTGTGGATAAAAAGTCAGAAAATCTCATGTAAAGGAGCACCGGAAGAAAAAATAAAAACGGTACAAAGATGAGGAGAACTACGAAGTGGTTCTTGGTGCCTGAGGCATGAAACTAATCCATTGTAAGTCTGAACTGATACGAGAATTTCTGGATGAATACCAAGAACAAGAGTAGATAGGTGGCTGGGAAGAAAATGTAGCTCTAGGGTATTCTGACTTTATGGGACTTAGATATTCCCAAGAATTCTCCTACTCCTTATGACTGCACTGGGGGATTTAATATTCCACATTGTTTATAGTTAAAGCAGTAACACCAAGTAAAACAAAAGTTTTCACACAACTATTAATTTGTTTTCCATGAATTAATTCAGTTTCTGTGTGGACCAAGTAATGAAACTTCACAGCAAATTAAAATCGTTATTTGCAATGCTAAGTAGGAACAATGCAAATAAAAAAGACCACACCAATTGAGGCAGACAGTCTCTGGATACTTTGCCATGTATTTTTCAGCAATGTGATGAGAAGTTCTTTTTCTTAGTTTTCTAACTTAACAACTTGAAAATATATTCCTAGTCAATAGGAACGTTATGACTCATGGCAAAGCAAGGTGAAAATGACCTTGCTTGTGCTCTGTCCATTTAGAGTATTTTCTGTGTTCATTTTTAATGTTTAGCCTTCCTCTAGAACTTGCCCTCTTGTGTTGTGCAATAGAATGAATAATATAAAAGACTTTGCCCTCTGTAGTTCTTCAAACATGTAAATATTTGAGTTATTCCATACTGTAGTTTGGTCAATGCTCCAGTATTTACTTGATAGAATAGAGCAGGCAGAGCACAGTAAGCTGAGCTGTAATGTGTCCAGGACTGCGATGATGACAGCTTATGTGCAGGCAGGCTGATACGGCAGGTAGGAACAGCAAGGTCAGTATGGTTTTATGCTAGCCCAGTTCTGACCTCAGAAATCTCAGCGGACAGATAAAACCTGTATTGGAGGTATAAGAAGACTCATCAGATCCGTTTGGAGCTCTTGTTCATATTTTGGAAATGACAGCTGAAATCCACTATTACTGATTTAAGGCAGATCAACCGTTTTGGTATTTGTTGTAATGATTCCGTTCCAGTACTGTGTGGAAGAGGGATAGGGATGGGAAGCTTGCTTACCTTCCAGTGCACCCAAGAAGGGAGCGTGTAATCTGGCATCACTCGATGATCTGCATGGGACTTGTTAGGTAGGCTTTGGAGAAGGCCTGTCACATGCTTTTGAAAGGAGAGCTGCTTCAGAACACTCTTCTTAAGGGTGTCTGGAGCCGACCTCACTGCACTGCCCTTTTTTCCATCCACTGCAGCATCAGTCACTAGACCTAGGCAAATGCCAAAGTGCATTTTCAGCACAAAGTCAGCTTTGCTGTAAGTGTGTAACATATGATTAACTTTGTTATTATATAATTCATGTCTCTCTTTGTAGACAAATGTCTTGCATTTTTAATGGTTATTTGAACGCTGTACATAATTCTTTCTCAGAGAAGCAGTTGAACCTGGCCGAGTTCAAACTGAAACTTCCCAGAGGAATAATCCAAATCTGTATTTCCATATATATAAATAAACTGTGTAATACTTACAGCAACTCACATAATACAGTTTTGAAATGAGATAGAACTCATTATCAGTACAGTGAGGAGCACAGACTCTTTCCTGTCAGAAATAATGGAGTGAGATCTACACAATTATTTTCCCTCACTGTCTCTGTAGTCATTTATGCAGCAAGGTGCATATAAATCTTTCTCGGCCTGTTGTGCTGTAGTGGAACATACACCAACCCCAGCCAACTCCTGTGCTTGCAAGCAGGAGTATAAAAATAAATCCCTTAATTCTGTTTGGTTTCATGATGTAACATCAGAAGCACTGTGCATTGCAAAGCTGCACTGCCCAAGTCCAAATGGAGCTTCAGCACGGTGCTGCCTGAGGGTAGGGGATGCCACATTTGAAATCTGCCATCCTGCCTTTGTACTTGTCCTCTGGGTATGAGTCTGGAGTGACTCCTTTCTTTTTGCATCATGGTGGATTTCAGTCTGTATTACTGAGATGTGAACTTGGCACTCAACCCCATGTTACACTTGGATTTTTTTAGTCAAGCTATGCTAGGCAACACCCGCTGCCCAACACTCAGGAATTGCTACCAGCATAAGTAACAAACCTCAGCCTTTTGTGATCCTGGTTAATGACCCGGGTTCAGGACCAAGAATTAGAGGCTAATCTTCTTCAGCTTGGGTTTACAGTGCCTAGCTATCAGCTGAAGGTTGGCTCCTACGCTCAAAGAGAAATGGACTTTCTTTTAGACGTGTCTGAAAAGAGGGAAATGGTGTCCTGCTGTTTTTGTCTAGTAGCTGAGCAGAGGATGTAGAAGAGCAAGAGCAGATCTATTGCAGCCATGAAGCAGAACAGCGAGGTCTGTTCCCACCTGTACCTGCAACCTCTCTCTGACCTGGCTATAGGCTGTTTATTCAGGAGTAAGTGTAGGAAGCAGGTGAGACAGGTTTTCATCTGTGATTTTAAAAGGAATTCAGTAAAGAATGAAAAAAATACGGGAAGGGAAAGAAAAAGAAGGGACATGAGTTCACAGGTTCAATCCCTGCTTACTGCAGGGGGGTTGGGCTCGATGATCTCTCAAGGTCCCTTCCAACCTAAAGCATTCTATGATTCTATGATTTAATTGTTTGATGAGATAGTGCATTAAGACACTGGACTTATATTTTGAAAGTTTTTACTTCTGGAATACAAAATGCAGCAGTTTGGCAAAAAGCGTGCTTTGTATAAACACAGTTCTGTGTATTCTTAGGAAAAGGGTGAAATCTATCGCCTCACTGGAGTTTGGGCGAGTCCATCCAGGACAGAATCTGCCCTACAGTGTGTGGTTTAAACACCTCCATGCAGCAGTGAAGTAAATGCACTGATTAAATAGTGTAACCTGATAAGAATTTTAATGTCAGAGATACAGCGAACTGAAATTTTGTTTGCTAAATGTGATTTATCCAATGGACTTAAGGAAGGAAGCAGACTCCCCACCTGTGTTCTTCAGCATGTTTGGATAGTAATCTTCTTTAAGTAATGTGACAGGCCCTTTCTGTAGCCCAGCGTCAGAGGATTATAGTATTTTCAGAACAATTTATGAAAGATTAGTAGAGGCATAGTTAATAATTTAAATTAGCTACAGGTTTTTTATTAATCTTCAAATTAATGAGTTCTACCTTTTGATCTTTCTGGCTGCAAATCCCTCTGGAGTTGATGCCAATTAGGATTCGGTAATAACTTGGTTATGAACATGGACCAGTGTGTGCATATGTGTGGCATACTTGTGTGTGTACCTGTGCGGGTAGGTGTCAGTGCCCCTGGAGAGCGGCACATTTCAGTTAGACCTGTTCAGTTCTTAACAATTTGGAAAGTGGACCTCTCCACTAGTGGAAATTAAAGAAAAATGCAAGGACAGTAGTGAGCAAATGAAGGTTCTGCTTTATCATGCACAAAGTTGTGCATTGCACAGTGCCAATCTGATGCCCTTAGGACAGTTAGATACAGCTTGTGTATTACCTACAATGAAGATTGGCACAGTATCAGGGAATGAAATGACCTCGCTCACTCTTCACGTGAACCGTTGAGAAATGTTCTTGTCTTTTAAAGAAGGAAACATGTTCAGCACCAAATAAATGGCACCAGCCCAAGGCAACATCGAATAGGAAACTTACAGAGGAGCAGACTGACCTGCTTAGAGCTTCACTCTGTGTGAGGGGGAAACAAGAGGTAATCACAGCTTTCTGGGACATCACAGTTCTCATACTGACATTTCTACATGCCCACAGTGGTACTATTTCAAACCTCCTTGCAAGCAGGCCCATGTTGACCTGTGTGTGTTGCTGAGTTTCTTTGCATAGTCACTGAATTGCCTTAATTGAAGTGTGCTGTAGGTTTACAGTATAAGCATCAGTAAGAGCTGTTTTTCAGAACTGATAAACATGTATGAGTATAGTAGGAATAACACCAGGTTCTCAGTCCTGCCATCCACAGTACAATGTAGTACTTGGTATGACAGCACTTGTTTCAGCTGAGCTTTCCTTCTTCTGTACCTGTGTTTCTGAATGGTTGGAGGTTATTTTCTTCCTGGTGTCCCAGAGCCCATTGCCTTTTCATCTCCTGTGCTTGTATCTTACGAGTCTGATGCTGCTCATGTTGCAACTTCATGTGGATTTGATGAGGTGTTAATGTTCAGTTTCCTATATTCAAGTAATTTTTAGAACATTTCTTTCTCTTACCATTCTTTAATCTGAAGGGAGATGATTGATTGGACCCCTAGAGCCTTGTTTCCCAAGGTACATGAGTGTCTGTAGTCAAAGATGAGTGTGGGGGAGTGTGGATCAATGCACGATGTTGCATTTCTAAATCAGTATTCTTTGCCCTACTCAGTCTCTTGTCTTCCTGAAAACCCAGTGCGAACTTCCAATATTTGAAATTTATTCTATAGATGATTTCTAGTCACAATGCTATGAAACCTGAGCAAAAGCTTTTCTCAATTTCTTCTTGTAAAATTTTGAGTCAATGCGTAGTGGTATATCTACATTTCAGTTGTTGGCAACTTATGTTGAAAAATAGACTAATCTATTCTAGTAGTCATCTTGTTTTAAGAAAAGAAAAGAGCATTGCTTGTTTCCAAATTCAAAAGTACAATCTGCTCATCACAGGCAGAACTGAGACCCTGGTTCCAGGTACCGTTCAGGCAAAGGTGGATCATTTACTTATATGTATATTTTCTCTTACAGCATAGGTGGAGAAGTAGTGAGAGGAAATGAAGGAAGCTACGTGGGGAAACATTTCCGCATGGGATTTATGACAATGCCTGCTCCTCAGGACAGACTGCCACATCCTTGCTCCAGTGGCTTTACCGTGAGATCCCAGTCTCTTCATTCTGTTGGAGGAACCGATGATGAAAGTAGCAGCTCTCGTAAGCAGCCGCCTCCAAAACCTAAGCGAGACCCCAACACCAAACTAAGCACCTCATCTGAAACAGTCAACACTGGAACAACAAGTAAAAGTGGGAAACTACCGGACAGGACTGAAGGTAAACACTATAATTCTTTGGAGAAAAGGTTCTTGGTGACCCAGTGTTAAGATTATCCAGTTGATAATCTGGCATTTAAGAATAACCTGTATGTTTCCCAATCTGTGTAACAGTTCCAGCACAGGTATTCTAGATCACCGTTCTCCAAATTTTGGACCAGTGGGTAATTGCCAACCTTTGACATTTCTCACAGAACCATACCACTGATGTAGCCTGGTTATGTACTGGGGAATGAGTTGAATTTATTCAAAATGAAGGGAAAAAGAGATTGCTATTAGATGGCATGTAGGACAATGTTGACTGCATGCCAGCCAAGGACCACTCACCATATCACTAGCACTGTGCAAACCACAGCTTTGGAAAGGGTCCTCCTCAGCAAAGAAGTGAAGGTCAGAAATTATTAAAAAGAATACTGTGTGGCCCTGAAACTCTACAGCAAGGAAATATCATCCAACAGCAAGAATTGTACCCGAGATGACATAACGTATTGCCCAAAGCTTCTGTTTGCTTATGAGTCTACATTTTCTCTTCCCATTCCTTCCAGTTACATTTCAGCTGATGCAGCATTCAGAAGAAAATAAACAAATGTGTTGAATAAGGATATCGTTTTCTTACTCTGAACTGTTAAAGATGAGCTAACGCTATAGGGATCTTCTCCTTCCTTTCTTCCATGCTGGAAATGCATTTTGTGCAGCAGTAGGACCACCTGTACTCCCTGCTAGGAGAAGTCAGGATAACTCTGCTTCACAGTGTGAACTGTTAGAAGGAACCCTTAGGGACAAATGGTTTTGATCAGTGCTGGTCTTTCCCACTGCTATGTTACATATCAGTTTTGACATCCCATGCAGAAACACCTATTAGTTACATTCATGCTACAACCCCTTTTAAGCAAATCTGATTTTAAAAAGTCATCAGTGATAACAAAGATGCAAAGGAATGTATAATTCAACTGGTGGCATGTATGTCTATGATTGTGAGGTTGAATGCAAACATTGAACAAAACTATAGATTTATTTATGCTGTTGTTGGTAGTTATTTTGCATATGACATTTATCATTATTTCCATAGCTTGTCCTCTACAATGACCATTACATCAACTCCACTGAACAGACTAACATGACAAATCCAAGCATTAAGTAGCTACACTTGATAACAGCAGTTTACCACAATTTTACTGGACCAAGGCCTAGACAGAAACCATTCAGATTTGTGCCACAGACAGATTTAAAATCCCATATCAGAAAGTCTTTCAAGTCTTTCATTTAATACAAAAAGAGAGTGCATGGCACAAACTTCTCAGTCTGATATGCTCTGAGGTGAAAGGCAGGAGCTCTTAAGTTACTCAAAAGTTCTTTTTAAAAATACTGTATTTTAAAATATTTTTATAATTCTTTAATATATTTTAGCACTATTTCCTCCTGAGTCTGCACAACCAGAATTACCAAGGCTAAATGAAGTTTGTTTTGCAGACAGGGCAGTAAGATAGGCTCTAACTTTTTCTAACTTGTTTAATGGATATTCCTGCAAATGTGCATTGCGTCTCACAGTATATTGTGCTCTCTGGTATAGCTGTATAGCTGACCTTGGCATTATCTCTAGGATGATTAGGAATGAGGTCTGTTTTACATCTATCCCCCAGCCCTTTTCATCATCTACTGAGAAGAAAGAGGCTTTGACAACCTCAAAGTAGTAATAATAATAATTATAGTGATAATTGAAATACATAGAAGTATTTTACTAATCTCACAGAAGTTATGGCAGACTCCTTAAGCAGTCTGTGTCCTCATGAAATGAGATCTTCATCATGATTATTACTATGGAAGGTTCTGAAAATTTTGCTTCTTTTACCTGATCTCCTCCTGCCATCCGATATTTGACACCAAGGATGTAATATGTAGTCATCTCCCTTCTGACAGATTTCAAAGTTTGAAATTGATTGACATTTCTGTTTCCAAGGCCAAGTACCACTTTGCCTCCTCCCGCTCTGTGCAGATTGAGCTTGCTCTATCCCAGCACTTGATGGTTATGAGTGGCACCTGTGGCCCTGTAGCAGTGTTCACTTTGGAGAATCTGTATGACAATGGTGTTACTACACCATAGTACTAAGTATTGCAGAGTGCCTTGGATTCATTATTATAATCAAGAGCTGAATATTCATAGCAAGATCTCTGGAAAGAAGTGGCGCATGAGTAATACCCCATCACTAGCATAAAAGGTAATACTTAAATGTTACTGTTTAGTGTGACTAAATGCCTTCATGGCATATTGAGAATCTCTATGATACTTAATATATGACCTGTATTATAATTATACTGCTGGTTTATACATAGTGCAGCAATGGGCACTTTTAGACTATCATGAAGAAGTTCCTGGACATTTTGAATTGACAGAACCCCTTAACCATACTGTTGTTTTTGTGCATTCAGAATACCTGCCCTGTTTGTATGTGTCTAGTTTTATGTGTGCCCAACTTACAGGGGTTTCACCAAAGAGTTTGATACATAGAAAGTAAGATCAGATTGTAGGGTTTTTTTGAAGTAAGCAATAAAATTTTAAAGTCTGAGATATACTCATGGGTGGTACAATGTGGTGTTTGGATGAACAGGCTGGATTTCTAAAATGCTTTGGTGTCACCAGGAGAGGCTTTGTTAACACCTGCGCACTCCAAGGTAACATGTTTGTTTTGATGGAAGAATTTTCACAGTCATCATCTGGGTAGCATAGGAATGTTTATATAAACTGTGGTCGTACATTGATGAGGACGTCTAAAGATGGCAGAACCAGATGAAAGTCGAAGTTCATTATCTGCACTGTTAATTTGATACAAATATTAAACCATATTTGTCCCAGAATATGAAATTATTACTGTTGCTCTGCAATTAATTCCCAGCAAATTTAGTATCTGAAATTGTGTCTAGCTCAAAGAAACCTGTGAAGGTCTGATTCTGCCAGTCTGGTTTTTATGTGCAAGTGGTTAAGTTTTTCCATATCTAGTAGTTCTCATCCTAGTAGCAGTCTTTGAATTCAAGAAATTGTAAATCTGTATCTTTCCAATATCAGGTGAGATAGTCCATAGAATACAATATTCATGTTCTCCTAGGGAGGTTTTTAGAAGCTGAAGTCCAAGAACACACAGTTTTAACCTTTAGTCACTGTTGTCCATATTGTACCCAAATATTTTTATATGCATCTCACACATTTGTGTGCGCTTGTGGTACTTGCAGGCTGAATGGCTACAGCTTTTTCCAGGAACCATGGAAAACAATGATGAAAAACCCTATTGTTTCTCCATCAACTATTGTGGAATATCTACAAAGGAGTTGTCACAAAATTGTTCCCAGCTCAGTTTTTTTTTTATGGCAATGCAGAATAATTCAGACTATAATGTCTATTGTCTGACCCTGTGGCTACTTTAGAAAGGAATTTGCTACATTTCCTAGACAACTAGGGACAGCCTCACCACTCATTTTTCTTAAACACGTTTACTTTTTGCTTTTTGATAATGATCCAGTTTATATAAACAAAAGCAGTTACTGATGGTAACTTTTATTCTTTTTCTGATAATGGCAAAGTCAAAATATTGAACCCATCCCATCATAATAACTACCATAACATTAGATTATGTTTTGAATATGAGTCTGACTTTACTGCAGAAATAAGTGGCAGAAGAAGTTTGGTCATGAGGTTGAAAAACCTTATCCTCCTGAAGCACAAATAGCATCAGTAACAGCCACACCAGCTCTGTACACTTTTCCTATAAGTGCTCTTGCTTCCAAATTTGTGGGAGTGTGAGAATCTTCTTTTAAGTTGTGACGACATGGATTAACCTTGTCGGATTGTGCAGCAGTGTGTTAGCACTTCGGTTTGTGTGTTTCATCCCAGTCTACCTTGGCTCTCCCTGAAACAGCACTCTCCAGCCTGAAGGCCTCATTCCCCTTGAGTTTAATTTTGTTGCTGTGCTTCCACACTTTTGTGTCCCTTCTCATGCTTCAATATTCCTTTTTTACTCTTCCGGCTACCTCTCACATGCACCCACTGAACGCCTTCCACCCAATGCATTTCTCCTCCATGACAGATTTCTAGAAAGTTGTTTTTGAAAACGTGGGTTGTCTTTTCTGCAGAGTTTTCAAACTCTGGTAGGAACAGCAAACAAATGTAGTTGGGTCCCACACATCACACATTGGAAGTGAGAAGTGAACTGAAAAGGGTAATTTTAAATAACATTTTAGCGTGGAAGGCATAACTAATCTTGATCCTGAAAGGCCCTTTATTGAGAAGACACAGGAGTTTAATTAACTGATGTGCTTTCAGTGTCCAATCTTACAGAAAAAGAAATTAATAAAACAGTATAATTGGTAAATGTAACCAGCCTCAAGCAGTGTTTTTTGATATGATCACTGCATGTCCACAAGAAAGATTTACAGATCTACTGCAGTGCAAACATAAATGAAGAGGTGTAAGTGAATTGCATTTTGAAAGTTAACTTTTTGTTAAAATTCTGTTTAGCAATATGGATGATGACTACATTATATACATATATGCACATAAAATATATATAATATACTGTAATCTATGTATACATAATAGACCCATTTATGCATAATGAAAATGCAAGTTGTGTGTGCTTGCATGTACATACAACCATGTGCACACAAATGCAAACTAAAATTCAAAGTAGCATTTTCAAAATGCTGTTTGTGGTTGTAATTCTGCTCCTGCCAGAGTCCATGGGAAGTTTAGGTCTGACACGTGAAAATGCTTGCAGGGATCCTCACCTCTCAAACCCACTCAATTTCTTTAGTGTTTTCCTTCTGAGTGTCGTGTGTGGAAGAAGATAGCCTTCTTGCTGCTTTCTAAGCCCATGCAGCGGAAGCCTCTCTCTGTTGCTCAGCAATCTCTAAAGGTGGGCAACTTCTAAGGAAAATTTTCCTCTGGAGAAAAGCAATTACAGTAACTGTAACTGGGGTTGCAGTCCAGCTGGTCTCTCTCATAAATCTAGT